GCTCAGGTTAATAGGAAGATCTAATGAATAAAATGGTCACCAGAAACTTCGTTAGCTGCTTATTCTGGAAAAGTCTCTAAAATAGAAAATAAGTAGAGTTTTCTTTATAATTAGAATATCCTGACCATGATAATCTTAATTGGAGAATCTTGTTTTCAAGGCGTTACTCAGGACATTAATGGAATTATAGATGTTGGAATGGTCTTATTTATACGAATAATACCTTAAACATTTATACAGTACTTTATTAAGCAGTTTTATACTATTATTTAAATTTTACCCACACTAAACTTACTTTAGAGACATGGAAACTCTGAATCAAGGGCTTAAATGATTTGCTCAAGGTCACATGGTCAATTCATGGTAAATGCAGGACTGAAATCTAGGTCTTCTAACCAATTATATAATTAACCAAGAAACACAGTCATCCGCTTTTTTCTCTTATAATTTGCTTCTTTCTCCTAAAGTGGCATACAAACGGAAAGGTCTGTAGACTAAAAGTTAAGAGCTAACTGAGGTTTTAGATTGTGTGAAGAGTTCTGGACGAGATTACGCGCCCTAGTTGACAATTTTGTCCGCCAGGGAAGTGGCGCTAAAGAGGACACAAGGGCTGATGAAGACCTATCAAAAGTTGAGACTCAAGTCAAACAAACAAATACTTACTGAAGAACTAAAACATCAACAGTACGATGTGAGACCCTTCAGGAAAATTTCCATTAATAGAAAAAGAGAATACTCTTTTTATGTAGAAAGATCTTTATTTCGTACTTATGTGTGCCCATGCTGGCACTCTGTAGCAGCCATAGAAAAGCAAAGTATCTAATTAAGAGAGAGTGTCTCATCTTTGGCTCAGTCTGCTAGTGGCATTTACCTTAATACTGAATTATGAAATGAACGTATCACGTGCACCTGCTAAGTACCATTACTACACAGGCTAAACGTTAACCTCTGATACAGTCGACGGACCTTCAGAGACGGTACTGCGGTGAGTGGGGCGCTACGCCTGCCACC